GACTTGTAAGGCCATTAGCAGCAAACAGACAGTCCAGAACAAAACTGATTTTCCGCTTTCTTGACAAGGATGAAACAGAACCTTCAACCAACCAGACTTATGATTCTCTCTTGAAGAATCTTACCATGATCAAGTCATTTGCTGCTGGAATCCTTGTGCCGAAGAGTTATATATGGCCTCTTGATGCATCCTCGTATCTGCTACCTCATACTTCTTTGGTGGATGATGCTCATAAAATTGGACTTGAAGTTTTTGCTGCAGATTTTGCAAATGATGTACCTATTGCCTACAACTACAGCTACAACCCTGTTAATGAATATCTTAACTTCATTGACAACGGGGACTTCTCTGTGGATGGTGTGCTGTCTGACTTCCCGATAACTCCATCAGAAGCGATAGGTGAGAGCTATATTCTTTGTTTCTTTCCTGATATAAGTAGAAAAGTGATAATCCAGCTATTGTTGCTGTATTTTTAGTTGTATGCTAATTTTGTATTAAACTTTTGCAGATTGCTTTGCCCACCTTGGCAAGAATGCATCAGCACAAGGTTTGTTGCTTTTCTTTTATTGGATTTCAGTTCTTATTTCCGTGTCTTAAGTCATCAAGTATTGCATAAACACCTCTAACATACTGTTCCTATCCGCATCTGTTGATTTCAGCTGTGCCCTTGGTTATATCTCACAATGGAGCAAGTGGAGACTACCCTGGTTGTACTGATTTAGCTTATACACAGGCTATTAGTGATGGCGCTGAAGTGATTGATTGCCAAGTTCAATTGTCAAAGGATGGTGTACCTTTCTGTCTGAGCTCTGCCAATCTCATGAATAACACAGACGCCACACAATTCAGGAACCTTATGTCAACTGTTAAGGAAATTCAGCCTGCTGCTGGATTATTTACATTCAGTCTGGACTGGGCTGATATTCAAGGCTTAACTCGTAAGTGAAATTGTCTACCGTTTGTCTCATTTATATAGCACAGAAATCATATATGACTACTGCTAAAAGTAAAGCATGCTTTCTGGAACTGAAATCACTTTTAGAAGTAAGTCCTATAATGTTAGTATTCAATATTCATTAACATCTTATTCGTTTTCTTATCCTGCTTGCAGCGGCAATTACAAGTCCATACTCAGGTTCGCTTCTGCTAAGAAACCCAAAAAACAGGAATGCAGGAAAAATCATGTCCTTGGCTGACTTCTTGGACTTAGCAAGAAATTCTTCATCACTTTCTCGTGTGTTGATCAAGATAGAGGTAAGTAAAGGCTGATGGCTGTTCATAGTCCAAATGGACCTTTCTTTTCACCATCACTTAGTTTAAGTAATGTCACATAATAAAAAATCATCACTATATATATAACAGAAACACTGATTCTTTTTTTTATTGAATATCCTGATATAGTTTATGTGCTTTTTAATTTCTAATGGAGGGAGTATATCTTAAAGTTGAATGGATCCTGATTTTCTGTTTATCTGATGTGAATGTTCAGAATGCGCAATACTTGGCAGTTAAGCAGGGCATGAGTATAATTGATAAAGTTTTGGATGCTTTAGACGAAGCTGGTTACAACAGTTCAACAGCAAAAAAGGTTATGATTCAGTCCACCAGCAGTTCAGTCCTGAAGGCGATAAAGGGGAGTAATTATGAACTTGTCTATGAAGTCGACGAGATCATTAGTGGGACAAACAACGATACTATTTCAGAGATCAAGACCTTTGCTGATTCTGTGGTTCTTGACAGGAAGTCTATCCTTCCATTCAATGCAGACGGGTTCCTTGAAAATATGACTGATGTTGTGCCACGGTTTCAGGCATTTAAGCTTCCTGTGTATGTTCAGGTTCTCATGAATGAATTTACAAGCATACCTTTCGACGCCTTCTCTGATCCAATAGTCCAGATAAATACATTCGTCGCTGCAGCTAATGTTGATGGTGTGATCACAGATTTCCCGAAAACTGCTGCTTCATACAAGAGTAAGTCATAATGATGAATAAACACAAATACATGATTAGCTAGGTAAGTTATAATAGTGGACTAATGCAGTTTTCTCTGTTTTCTGCAGGAAACCTGTGTCTGAAGATGAAGGAAAAGCCGAGTTACATGACACCAGCACAGCCTGGTGGACTCTTGGCAGTAGTTGGCCCGGGTCCTGCAGCACCTCCTACACCCCTCCTCACTGAGGAAGATGTGGAGCAGCCGCCTCTTCCTGCAGTTGTGCCAGTAAGCGACGCTTCTGCACCAACAACAGCACCAGAAACAACAAAAAATAGCCAGCATAAAGTTGCTGTTTCTGCATTATTATTCCTCCTGTCATTGACCGCGGCAGCTGCTGTTCTGTTCTGATAGGTTTTGTTAGAAGGAAGTTCTTCGTACATACTTGATTGTTTTGGAGTCTCCCATACATACTTTTGTGCATTATATACCATTTGTCTTATGATTTACAAGCCCATTTTTTCATTGAAATTGTGAGTAAATGCCTCAATATACAATTTCGCAGAGTAATTTTGTTTTAGTTTTCAAATATAATCAAGCTAATCTTTTTCCATGTCTCCTTTCAAGTCACGTAGGAAAGACTTTTTAATTATAGGCAGTACTTAAATTATATAATCAAGTCAAATGATCGATGGATTTAAATCACTTGGTTGCGATTTCTGCGAAAAGCGTGGTTACATACTTAATCACCATTAGAGAGTTAAAATATACTGTAATTTGTTTGCAACAAGATGTAGCTCAACAAATATACAAGCTTAGAAAAAAATAATAAAGGAAATGAAGGGGCACTTGTATGCAAACTACAAGGTGTTGACTTCAAGATCGAGTTGACATTATTGCACCTTGAAAATGTGACGTGGCAAGTCGTTTTACAACGTCTTGTATCTCATCATTAGAGACCTGAGTTGCTCTTACCTCTTAGCTAACAAGTTAATATTGAAAATCGATTGTAAAATACTATTCCCTCCTCCATGTTTAAATAAATGAAACATTTTCCTTCTGCACGTATGTCAATGCAATACCTTGACTAATAATATCTTTATCAATAGGTAAAAATTATAACAATTGAATATTAATAAACTATTTATTAGGACGATTCCAAATATTTATTCTTATATATCACAAACATTATTCAAAATGAATTAGATTAATAGTGCAAACAAAGATTTTTTATCTAATCATTTTCGACTTGTTGGTCCATCAACATGATCCAAAATTTTTGAGACAATGAATCTTTAAATCTTTAATCATCTTATTATGTGGATATTTAAAAAAAAAAAAAGTATACTTATATATCAATATCTTCTATATATGATAGTAGTATAAATTATCAAGATACAGAAATACATATTTATCTTATAATGGACAAAATCATAAATCATAATTGATTTTTATAACGATCCTATTCATGAACAAAATTTCAAATCATAAAAATAAACACATACATTGTTTTTAAATAAATTGTTATAAAAGGAATTATAAGATTTTTTTTTATCAATCATCATGTTTGTTCTCATAGAAAGTGAAGATTATTTTAAGTATGTTATATTTTATTATATATAGCTATATATACTCCTTATTTAGGATATTTGACTTTTTAGGTCACTTTACGAATATGATAACCTATGTTTTTTAGGGTAAAGTCAAATAATATCGAAATACTTAGATCGAGAAAGGAAATATATGATGCTTGTATTTACGTACTACTCATACTTGTTCTTTCGTTAGAAAACAAAAAAATCAAACTGTTGTCAATTCTCAAAATTATCATGATTTTAATAAATTTGACTAATTTTTAATTTATCATATGATATAATGATATATATCATATTATTTGAAACCTAAACCACAACGATACCAAACAAAGCCGTAAGCTATTTTATTATTAACCCTAAAGAAATTCAATAAAATTAATATTCCTATCCCTTGTTATAGAATAATTTATTTAACACACTTTGAATTTTTACTATTTATATACAAATGTTAACTTTATTTAAACTATAAATTTTTACTAATGTATTAATTAAAAACATGTATTGTTATGTACAATGTTGTTAAACCTCAATTGTTTTTTGCTCTACTCACTTACTATCATGAGATAATTTTTTTCTTAAATACAAAACAAGAATTATCTCGTGATATCTTGTTAGAATCCTTTCACCATGTGGTATCTTAATATCAAATTTTCAAATACTTGTACTCCGTGCAATTTGCACTAGTACGCATTTAAAGATACATTTCATTGGAGTCTTTGGAGATTGTAGAAAATGCAAGGTGAGTAAAAAAGAATGGATGGGACAACTATTAATATGAGAAGTTTCGTAAATTAACTTTGTATATAATTTTTTTTTATCTATAATGTTTAATTGCATACCATTATATTGTTACTCAAACTAGTACACGGACTAATATATCAAGTTTGCCGGTACTAGTTATTATACAACAAAGGAAGTAATTTAGCAAATCACAAAGAATATGTGTTAAACTAGATAAATGACTAGATAAAAAAGGTAAATATTTGAACAACATCTCAATCTACCATTTTCTTAGCACATAAAATTAAATTCATAAATACGGAGTACAACACTAAAATAAACCATTTTTAACTGAAAAAATCTATATTTTTCGTACAAAGAAAGTTAGAAACATGGTAATTATACATATATGTGAAGAAATTATTTAAAAAAGGTATAAGGCCATAAGTTTATCACTCAATCATTTTTATAAGGTAAAAGTATTCTTGGAAAAGAAATTTACTAAGCCAAAAACTCAAAAGATTTTGACCTTAATATAGTAAACCATTTATCTACCTTGGTATCGTAAAGATATATTGACCTTTTTCGTTTTTGTAATCTCATGTGATCACCTCTTATATAAAGCAATCAGTTATAGCATGCAAAGTGTATTTTACAGATTCATTGAGTTTACACTCGGGTGAGTTCACAAATTCTTACATTATTTTCTCGAGTGGGTTTTACAAATTCTTACATACACTCGGGTTGATAGAGATGCAAATCAAGTCGAGTATGTCAAAATGTGCCGTGTTAGTGTTGTTAATCCTTTGTCTTATTACCAAAGGGCATTGTCAATCAAAGGTCTTCGATTTGGATGATTATGGTGCTGTTAAAGGTGGAGAAGTGGACAACAGTAAGGTAATTCATTTGATGATCTATTTCATAATTTGCCACCATTTACGATTATTTTACTAAATGAGGAAAAAGATAAATGAAAGCATGTTTTTTAGGAGCTTTATTTTTTTTAGTGTTCTCTACACTTTTGAATGTGTCTTTATAATTTTACTTTCTCTATCCTACTGAAATTGCTTCATTTGAGACCACAAATTCCACTAAAATGTCTCATTTTGAGTCTAATGAGACGATTTTAGTGGGATGGAGGATGTGCATACATAAATAAAAAACAGAAAATTGTGAAGAATGAAAAAAAAAAAAGATTTCGAACTTGTGATTAACAAAGGATTATGTTTTTGGACATTGTGAAAAATAAAAAGTAAAATGTAAAATTATGTTTTCACTATGTCCAAAAATCATGTTATTTTTGTTTGGGTTGGTAAAGTGTTTGAATTTTGTATGGTGCAATTTTGTCAGAGATATATGATATCAGAAGATACATGTGTGATAAATTTTCCGTAGATATCATTAAGAGAATAATATAATTAGGTTTATTTATGTTAAATATATTAATTAGCAAATATATCTTTAGGTTTATGGCTATGTTAGTATATTTTTTAAGAAAATTGTTTCCTATCTTATGAGCGTAGGTTTTATATAAATACTCTACCTATTGATGAATAATAATCAATCTTCCTACAAGATATACTAACATAGCCATAAACCTAAAGATATATTCCCTAACTAATATTTTTAACATATATAAACTTAAATATATTATTCTTTTAATGATATCTATGGAAAATATATCACAAAGTCCATTATATAATATGTTCAAAATTTTGTAGGCACTTTTGAAAGCATGGAATGATGCATGCAAATGGAAGGATGGATCCAAATTGGTTGTCTCTTCGGGTACATACTTAGTGGGTTCAGTATTATTGACTGGCCCATGTAATGGCCCAATAGAATTTCAAAACAAAGGCACTTTAAAGGCTCCGTTGGGCCTTAGTGGAGATTATTGGATCGAGTTTCGGTATATTGATGGGCTGGCAGTAAGTGGAGGAGGATCGTTTATTGGTGCAGGCCCACCAAAACAAGGTTCTCCATACCTTCCAACAGTAAGTTATAGTACAAACATCCTCTGTTTTTTTAATCACAACGTTTGAAATTTTACATTTTTTACATGTATATCTTTGACGGTCTTTTATCTTATTGTTGTTTCAGTTGTTGAGATTTAGCTTTGTAACAAACTCAAAGGCGCAAAATATAAAGCTAAGCAACAGCCAAAGCACCCATTTCAACTTATTTGCATGTAACAACACTAAACTAAACCAAATAACTGTATCATCACCAGAAGATAGTCCTAACACTGATGGAATAAAGATTGGAGAATCAAATGGTATTAAAATTTCCGATTCCACCATTGCTTCAGGAGATGATTGCGTTGCAATTCTTAGGGGTTCGAAAAACATAAGTGTTACTGGGGTTAAATGTGGTCCTGGTCATGGAATTAGCATCGGAAGTATGGGAGGGTCATCTGATGAACGTGTCGAGCGAATTTTCGTGAAAAATTGCCATCTTTTGGGTACTACTAATGGTTTAAGAATCAAGACTAAGGCTACTAATAATCCTGGCCTTGTTACGAAGGTTCGATATGAGAATGTTTTTATGACAAATGTTGATAACCCTATCATATTTGATCAGAATTATTGTCCTTGGAAAGATTGTGAAAAGGTATGTATCAAAATTTATAAGGTAACATTATCATGTTTTATTATTTGGTATGTGATTATAGAATATTTTAAAAATTCACAAATATAATTATCCTAGGGCAAGACTAAATATGTAATATGTAACATGTAACTAATGTAAATCTGGCTAACGTATATGATACACGCACCAAAGTCTTAGTTACTTGACTTGAGCATAGTAAATCTCTTCTTTGTTTTGCTAACGTGTTCGAGCTTGACTTGTAGGGTGATTCAAAAGTTCGAATAAGAGATGTGAAGTTCAAGAACATTCATGGAACATCAAGGACGAATGTTGCAGTGAATTTTCATTGCAGTGGGAGTAATCCATGCGATAAAATCGAGTTAAGGGACATTAAAATCAGGTTTCAGAGCAATGCAGAGAAAACCATTTCTAATTGTTCTAATGCTAGTGGGAAGGCTTATGGTGTACAATTGCCTAAATCTTGCTTGTCATCATAAGATGATAATTAAGAGAAAAGATTTAATTAGAAAGAAAAATAATGTTGGGGAGGTAGGAGTGAGTAGTCCCTAGCAATTTACGGATATTCAATATTATTTTATTTCCGTAATCGCAGGATGCGGTAGGTCTCTATGAAACGAAATTTTAATTCATTGAATGAAGATCGTATATGGCCCCATAAGATACGACTGATATTCTACTTCATATTAGAAAGAAGTTGTATGACCCCACCCTTATACGTTTGAATGTATAAATCTATTTACTTTTTTATTTGAAAAAATTGACTTTTTAGTCCCAACTTTATCTCATTTGCCCAACTTTGAATTTTTTTTAATAATCCGAACTTTAATATGAATTTGCTTTTAATGGTCTTAAATGACCGGTAACTTGTTGAAAAGATAATTTTATTTTGTTACAAATATTATGTACACATGTCACTATGTAATTGGTCCAAATAAGTTTTAATTTTTAACAAAAATTTATACAGTAGTAGTAATAATTAACAGTTAACTAATTATTTTAAAAATAATTAAAACTCAAAAAAAAAGGCTAGAAAAACCACCACCGGCCACCGGACCCTCCCTGCCCTCCACCCTCACTACGCCTGCCCCCACCGCAGTGCCGCCTAGACTACCCCCTTACTGCAACCCTAACCCCTCCCTTTCCCTGCAACCCTTTTTTTAGTTGCTACTAAAAAAATGAATAGATAAAAGTAAATCGTATTCATCTTCAATAAAATGAAAAGTAATTAGATTCATTTCTAAATTAAATTCATTTCTAATTAATTAATGAAATAGATCATACTTTATGGGTAATTAATTTGCATGTACGTACAAGACATGGTTTGTATACAAAGCACTCGTATATATAGAAGTATATACATATGTTCTTGCTTGGTGGTACGACACTAATGTCGTTAGAGTACTTTCCTAGGAATATTTATACACGCGCACATGTGAGGATGAATTGTGCTTTACAAAATAAGTAATTTTTTTAATGAGATACTATGTACCAATTGCAAATCTAATGTTAGCTTGTGTAACTATATATCTATAGAATAACAATAAATTATTGGCAATAAAAATAACATTAATAGAGTAATATAGTTCACAGCCCAAATTTGATTGGCTAGCAAAAGTTAATGCAAAAGATAACGAATTAACAATTGAAATCAACCGTACCATTACATTATGTACGAAGTATTAAGATTTTTTGAAATATTTGAGTGTGTGAATTGAAAGAAAAATAGAGTATCCAAGGACATTATCCTTCATACACTTTCCTTCCCCCCCCCCCCCCACCCTTTTTTTATGGCTCCATTCTTTTCTTTTAATTATTTTTGTATTGATATATATGGTCACCTTTTAAAATTTTGACCATAAAAACACACTATTATAAACATTAAAATCATATTGTGTGGGAATTTGTTATTCGGCTTAAAATAAGGAATACATTTTTAAAATATTAATTTTATATAATTTTCACTTATATTTCTTATCAATACCCTTAATATATATATTTGTGATGAAGGAAGGAGAATATTTTTTTTTTTAGCTTTGGGAAAATAAGTTTTTATTTTTTGTTATTTTGAAAGTGAGCAACCAATTCTTTATGATAGGCTCATTTCCCATTTATTTCAGTTTGTTCTTATGCATGCATGGTTACACGCCCGCATGCAAAAAGGTCAAACGTTAGTTGCTTAGTTCAAATAGAAACCGAATTTGCAAACAATAATAAAAATAAAAATAAAAAATAAAAAAGGTGCAAAATACTTGCTTTTTTTACCGTAACTTTGTGTATACCACTTGTCAAAAAAAAAAAAAAAAAACAAAAAAACAAAAACTCTTGTGTATATAATATGAAGAAGCTATTAGTCGTTGGTGAAACATATTAATACATACCAACTTAAGCCCTAGAAAATATATATATATATATATCAGTGTTAGAAGAGAAAATAACAAAAAATGACAAGAAAGAGTGATGCTTTAAGTTTGCTACTGATTTTGCTAATTTTGAGTTTCTCTCAAGCAATTAAGGGGGTGAAATTCTTCAACGTTAAAGACTATGGTGCTCTTGGTGATGACCATTATGATAGTTCAGAGGTAATCATAGTCACCTACTCACCTTACGTCCTTATGTCAAATTAATCCTCGGTAGTTGATATGATCATGAGTATATAAAGTGAGGATCAAATTTCATCTACACAACTGACTCAATTTGCAAGAGTTAAAAAATAAAATGTTAAGCGATACAGGTTTAAGCGATACAGGTTTATATATTTTTTGAAGTCTTAATTATTCTAGCTAGTCTCTTGCATGTGCTCGTTTAGTTTGTTTTGTGTTTCTCTTATCACTAACAAATAACTGAAACAATAAGAGAGATAGATTATATAAATAAAAATTATTTTTCTTTCCGTCAAAAATAAAACATATTTAAATTAAGATTTAAAAATAATTTTTCACAGTCGTAAATGTATTTGTAATGTAGTCATGTTTTAAGATTTCTTTAACCTCTCTCCTTATGCGCACACATGGCTATATGCACGTATTTGCTTAGTGTAATAGTAATACACAAAATATACTCACAAGCATACATCTTATGAGAAATGGGTTAATATTCACATAAATATATATATTTTTTTCATCTATATTTAGTATTTTTGATGTTAAAACAATTTTTTTATGTAAGTATACAATAATTTGAGTGATAATTAAAATGTCTTAAAATTGAAATTGGTTTCACCATGTAGGCCTTCGAGAGATCATGGAATGAAGCATGCAAATGGAAGGGCAAAGCGGTAATTAAAATCCCACGTGGGAAATTCTTGTTGAGAAATCTACTGTTTCAAGGCCCATGCATGGGCCCAATAGATTTCCACAATGCAGGCTTTTTGAAGGCCCATAAAGTAAATATTGGGCTGAGCTATTGGGTTGAATTTAGATATGTAGATAGATTGGGTATCAGTGGTAGTGGGCATTTTGATGGGCAAGGCTCAGAGTCATGGTTCAAGATAATGGAAGATTATCCCTCGACTAACAACCTTCCTACGGTAACTTAATTCTTTTTTCAATCAAATTATCTATGACTACGTGCGAGTTAAAGTGTAACACTTAATAATGCGAGGTGATTGTAACACTTAAAATTATGGAGGGTAACACTTAATAATGCAAGGTAACTGTAACACTTAAAATAATAGAGGAAATATCCAATTATTTGAGCTAATGAATTAATATCACTAATTATTAAAATTTAGCCTTGTTTGATTACTTTACTTTTCTACTACAAAAATCCTCCATATATACTTCAATGGCGGTGTTTGATGATTTCTAGGTTATAAATTTGAATTCATTTCAAATCATTTTACCTTGCAATTCAACTAATGCATGTTACGTTGAGTTTTCTAAATAGCTTTTCAAAACCATCAACATACAATTGCTAACGTTTAATTTTTTTGAGTCACCATAACTATCATGTCTATTTTGAGCCCTTTTGGAATTTAATAAACACGTACGTTTAGTATATTAAAACTAACATATTATCGACTGTCTCATTGTTGTGTTACAGTCGTTGATGTTAACTTTCGTCAACAATTCAAGGATCGACAACATGAATTTCGTCAATAGTAAAGGTAGCCACATTAAACTATACGGGTGCAAAAACGTTACGATAACCCAAATTCATATCTCAGCCCCCCCTAATAGCCCTAACACTGATGGAATCAACATTGCCTTCTCAAGACAAATCCAAGTAACAGATTCAAAGATTTCTACAGGAGATGATTGCATTTCACTCCTTCCTGGAGCTGAAGATGTTAACATCACGGATACTCGATGCGGGCCGGGCCACGGGATCAGCATCGGGAGCATGGGTATCGGGCCCAATGAGCTTGCAGTGAAGGGAATAAATGTGAAGAATTGCAACTTCACTGATACCATGAATGGTGTGAGGATTAAGACATGGGCTACCAAAAATGCTGGGAAGGTTGCTCAAATTTCATTTGAGAGCATTTTTGTTAACAATGCTAGCAATCCCATCATTATTGATCAAAATTATTGTCCATCACATGATTGTCCTAAGGTAACTCCAAATCTCTTTATTTATTAACCGGGTCGGTCTGACTCTATTATTTGAGACGGGTTCTTACTTTATTTCTTGCGGGCGAGGGGGTTGGTAGCGTCTAATGAAATGATTACATGTCTACTCTCAAAACTTTAACCAACTAAGCTAATTGACATCCACATAATATAAAGATATAAATCATACGAATACCTCTAGGACATTTACATCCCTTCGAACCTTGTTAAGCCCCGTTCACTTCACCTTATTTTTACTTAACTGAAATTATTTTTACTGATTCTCTATTATATTTCTTCTTTAGAGTTACTGATTTTTACTGAACTAAATTTATTTTTACTGAATATTATTTTTTTAAGGTGAACTGACACGGCCTTAGACAATGTTATTGAATTTACTTTTTAAGTAAATGTACTTCATTTGTTACATGCTTATATAAGACACCTATTTAATTTAGATATGGGAATATTTAGTAGAATGTATTCTAATTTTCTTTTGTTTTCTTTATTGAAGGGAGATTCTCATGTTCAAATAAGCGATGTGAAGTTTGTGAATATAATGGGAGTTTCACAAACGTACGTTGCAGTAAACTTACAATGCAGTAAATATAGACCATGTGAAGTTGAGACAAAGAATATAAATTTGAAGTATGGAAGTAACAAAGGACCAACAATTTCATCTTGTTACAACGTCAAGGGTGTTGCTTCTGGATTCCAAAAGCCACCATCTTGCATTTCTTAGCATCTTTCGTAACCTTATGTACTCCGTAATTATTATGTGATGAAACTAGCTATACGTACTATATCGATGTGATCTAGGTGCTACATCGTAATACAATAAGGTATAATTAACTTGGTTTAGGAAGTAACTATTGTGACTCAAAATTGGACAAGAGAATTACAGACTTACAGTTTAACATGGATGTGTTTAAGGGGCTGCTAACTCATTCAAGATACTTCGTATTTAACGAGTAAAAAAAATGCACCCTTCATTAACATGGTATACAATACTACTTCTAGGATCTGCTGAAAAGAAGTGTTTAAGTTATGTTGCTGATCTACCATATAAATCTCTGAACACCAGATTCATGGCTCCACTCGAATGGACGAAACAAAGACATGTACATGGTGAAGCTGTGAACAACTACATATAGAATCGCAATGAGAAGCCACTTACTAATCTCATCAATCCTACAATTAAGCATAAAAATAAAGAATGGTGTCGTGTATTACCTAAACTCAACCAGTGGGGTAGGCACAAGAACTGCAGCACAAGCCAAGAAATAGGCCAACACCCAGATTCTGCTCCTAGCCTTTCCTGTTGACAGAAAAGTAAAGAGGGGTTCAGCAGATCGTTTGGAAGGCAAAACTATTTATCAGGACTTTACTGAACTTTTCACAGGTCAACTTGGCCCAGATTTGCAGGCCAGACCCTTGACAAGGAGGGGGGATAAGGGAAATCCCCACCCCAAGACCTAGCGCTAGGATTCGAATTTGTGACATTGGTAGGAGAAATACGTCATGTTTAGACAGGTGAAACTGTGAAAGGAACAAATTACTGAATACAAGCCATAAATGGTTGATAAAATACTGACCTAATATGTGCAAGATTGATAGCCATGAGTAAGCATAAAATGGGACTAGAAAGTATTTCATTAACTGATGAGCATTGATGACCCCTTAGCCAGATATAAAATGGATAGTGTCGATTGTCTGCTAGAAGATAGGGGTGAGCTATACTGCAGCATTCAACCAAAATATATATATTTCCAAAAACATAGCTTAATCATATACAAGAGTACATAACAATCATCAATTATGACAGTAATCATTGAATACTCCGTATATTATATTTTTTGACCTTTTAAGTAGATACAATTATGACTATACATAATTGGTCTCACATGTAAATGTTGAATGTTAAAATTTATTAGATCTACCATGGAGACAAAATTTTAGTAAGGACCAAAATGTGAAAAACTCTCTGTTCTATCTATATTGTTCAGGAGAAACTGACAAAACGACAATCTGAAACTGTCTTGAAACAAGGAAACAAATACTTGGTGACAAAATAGCTTGTATCTGTAGCATTTCAATATTTCATTAGCGTATACAGATAGGTTTCTCTGCTTACCTGAAATAATCCCAGAAACAGACCGGCAGCAAAGATCACATATCCCAGGACAAAACTAAGCGGCTTAGTCTTCCAAATGGATTGCAGCAGAACAGTAGGATGGCCCAAAGTGAAGTGGAATGGAGCACTAAACAGTGCAGAAACCATTGCAAAATACATAATTTGAGCAAAATGTGGGGAAACAGCATGAGCTTCTTTAGCACCTGCAACACAAAAAATGGAGAATAAAATACATATACAACAGAAAAATAGAAAGGCAGAGGCAGCACACAAAGACCACAGGAAAACAGAAGGCAAAGACACAGCAGGGCAAGATGATAGTACCAAGAACAACACTTCCATTCCAATAAACAAAAGCAACAAAGGCTCCCAACACCAAAATAAAGGGGCTAAAAGAAACCACAAGCTCCCATTTTGAATGCCATGCTTGTACAATAATGTACTGGATCTCATCAAACAATCCTACAAATAAATAGCATAAGAAAAGTTAGCAATTGCGAAGCACTTATATCTTATAACTAAAGCATATCTTGTCTAAATTTCCAGGCAAATGAACCAGCTACTTTTGTAACAGCACAGGAGCTAATTTTCACTGAAGGAACACCCAGAACAATGCCCCCCACCCCAAAAAAAAAAAATCCAAAAAAGATTTAAGAAAAGGAAAGCACTCGATGACACAAACCAATACAAACACATAGCAAGCACGAGAAAAGGCCTACTGTTCAACCATTCATGAGCTCAAGTACGCAAATGCATGTAGGATCTTTTGAAATGATTACTTAATAAACCATAACAATCCACCTTGAGGTAGAAGCTGAACTCATATTGCCTGATAGATCATGGATTTATTTGAAAATAAGTATTGGTTATGCCAAGCTGGGAGCTATCAAAAGGTTAAATTACGTTCAAACCAACAGCGAAAGAAGGGAAAGACTTGACTTTGGGAACATTCTAATTGTTCAAAAATAAGTACAGTAGGCACAGATTAGAAGCACAATCCAATTTAGTTGTATCATCGAATAGTGGAATATTAATTATCATTATGGACAGAGGCACGGAGCAATCTTTTGACAAGACCCATAAAGAGGAAGGAAGTGAGGTTGAGATGGAAATTGACATAAAATTTAAAAAACTACTGTGTAGCTACTTTTGAAAGATATGAAAAGACATTCTAACACCTAGAGGGACTTGAATGAATGGAACAAATAAAACTTAGCTGCTGCTTGGATAAAATAGCTACATGACCTTATAAAGATGAAGTAAAATTTATGAAAACAAAAGGAATATAATTACATAGCAATAAAACATAAAAGAAAGAAACAATTGATAGCACAATGCATAACAATCTGGCAACTCATCCAACCTCCATTTTGTACTGAGTATCTATGTTTTCTTTAAAGATAAACAATCTCAACCTCATCTATAATACAACAAATATACCAGTGGCTGAATAGTGGCAATTTCAGTTTCAATTGCAGACCTTAACTAGTTATACTTAGTCACTTAGACTCTTTAGAGATTATGGACAATAAGTTGGAGATTGATAAAGGTGCAGAGGTCACCTGAAAGATGGGATCTTGAAAGAGCAGTCTTATCGGCACCAATAACAGTAGGGCAGGGAACATCAATTGCAAAAGCCTACATCTTTCGCCTTCTTAATCCTGATTTTGCTGCAAAATCATCTTTAGGAGTTATGTGGTCCTTTTCACCAATAGACACATTAGATTTATGAATACCTACATTTTGCCTATTGACCAGCAGCATATCAATTACACCACCACATGCAACAAAAAGCATCCATATGATATTGGTTTGTCGAATGCATACAGCCAATGCCCCCATCTTCATGAAAGAGTTAAATATATCTTAGTATGCTTTCATGCAGATGAAGTAAACAAAGTAGTATTATGAAATACATGTGGACTTAGTCCTTACCAAGGCCCTCAAAGCATAAATCTTTTTCAGGGAAGCCAGGTACATAGCAAGGAAAAAGATCAGTGATGCCACATCAGTGTAATAAAGATAAGTGAAGAACCAATGAAGAGGGTATAATGAAAGAACAACAGTGTAAATTGTTGCTTTTCTTTTGTCAAGTGCTTGTCTTAACTGTGTGATGATCTCATATATTAGAATGCTGCATATAAAAGCTAACGCACCATTGATGGAGCGAAGGATTGCAGCAGAACATAGATCTTTAAAGGATGAGATCCGTTGGATCAAAACCATGCCTGGAAACAAAGAAGAAATATGGGCAAGTGAAAGATAGTACCCTGCAAAGGTTTTGAATTACAAAATCAACTCCATTCTAACTAACACTTGAACTCTAGATAGCTAATCCCACTCAATTACTCAAGAAAAGTTGCACAATCCAGAGCATTGTATGGAGGAAATGACATTATTGACATATTATTTAAGGGTAGACTGATAAAAAAACAGAGCTTTGTTTATGTGAGACATCAGTCATCGAGCAAGGTAAAATCATTCCGAAAGAAGCAATCTGGCTAACACCTATTTACTGGAGCACTAAAAAAAGGCACCAAATAATGCTGATTGCACAAACCGATACATCTACTAGAGTACTAGGGGAAATCACTATTATGTAAGTTTTCCCCTCCATCACTAGAATTTAGAAATTAGCAATTTGAATGTTTTGTAGCATTTTTAGCCGAATTTGAATGTTTTGACATGAAATGGAGCAATCCCAACAAATCCCCTTCACTGTGACAATCACTCTCCCTATAAATAAATTCAAATTCATGTCTATTTATCAGTTATCACAATAGATGATATCTACCCTTATTCCTTAATTCACCATTTAAATTATCACACACAATAATGCCTTCATTTTGTAGCATCTCAAAAGTACAACAATAGATTGGTAAATCAATGTACACCTTCTATAGCTAACCTACTTTACTCTTTTTCAAGCCTCTAGTAAATCAGCCAGATAACCATCACCAAGATCATACTTTGAAAAGGGTAAATCAAGCCTTTTTAAACTAGAGGAAATAATGGTTAAAAACTCAAAAACTTATTAATTAAATAGCTACAATTTGGGTTGTGCAATGAGGTATGGTGGGATTCGATCCCAAGTCTCGGATATCAATCATAATACCCCACGACTTTAACCAAATAAGCTAGTTGGCGCCCACAAAACAAAAATTATACATGTAGGAACAAATTAAGATTTTAAGGGAAATTGCTCAAATACAAGCCAGGAGGCGTAGTAATCATAGGATCCCAGCTCTTGAAATTGCCTTTACAGTATTGTTGAGCTTAAGGAATGTGAAATATTTCGTCCTGTCAAATTCAATACCAAAATATATTCGGATTTTTTCCCAAATTGAGTTTTATTGGCAAATTATTTACCAAATTGGTCTCGTGGGAAAAGTATTTTCCAAACTAAGCTTCTGGGGTGAAACGCTGTCTCGGACAGCGTTTTACACCCAGTTTCTTTTAAAAAAAAATTCAAGAAGTAAAACGTTGTTTGTTTCAGACAGCGTTTTACGGTGTTGACCTGTTGGTATGTATTTTGGCAAAATATACTAAGCATATTTTGCCAAAATATACTGGAATATGTATATGGGCTTTAAAACGCTGCCCGAGGC